CAATGTTGGCTGCAGGCTACGGGTTCCTGTCAGAGAACGAGGGCTTTGCCCGGCGGTGCGAGGAAGAGGGTATCATCTTCGTCGGTCCCACGCCCGAGGCCATCGCCTCCATGGGCTCCAAGCGCGGCGCCAAGCTGCTCCTACGGTACCTTCGCCCTTTTCCTCGGTTCGCGGTGGTGGTGGGTGTGTGCCGAGTGTGTGTGCTGAGTGTGTGCGGTGGTGAGTGTCTGTCTCACGATTATTGCGCAGGGAAAGAGATGCATCGATCCCGCTTATCCCCGGCTACGACGGAGCTGATCAATCGACGGAGACGCTCTGCAGAGAGGCCAAGCGGATCGGTATGCACATGCCTCTACTCCACCCACAACCGTCTGCCTGCACCGGTGCGTGCTCACCCGTGGGTACCTGCAGGCTTCCCTGTGCTCCTCAAGGCCAGCGCTGGCGGCGGCGGCAAGGGCATGCGTGTCGTCAGGGAAGCCTCCCAACTCGTCGACGCCATCGACTCGGGTTCGCCTCCCTAGCAATCGAGCGTGTGGTTGTGCGTTCTTTGTGCCTATTTGCATTGACGATGCAACTATTACAGCCAAGCGCGAGTCTAGAAACTCGTTTGGCGACGACACGCTCCTCATTGAGAAGTACTTCGACGACGTGCGGCACATCGAGTTCCAGATCATGGGCGACCAGTACGGCAACGTGGTCCACCTCAATGAGCGCGAGTGCTCCGTTCAGCGCCGGCACCAGAAGGTCATCGAAGAGGCGCCGTCGGTCATCATGACCCCCGCCCTGCGGGAGCGCATGGGTCACTCAGCCGTGGCCATCGGCCGCGCCATCAACTACAGAGGCGCCGGCACCGTCGAGTTCATCGCGGACGACCAAGGTACGCCGCCGCGGTCCAGTCATCATCACCACACCACCACCATCATCTTGTAACGAGCAACGCGTGGTGGGTGGTGCTCCAAGGGCATTACTACTTCCTCGAGGTCAACACGCGGTTGCAGGTCGAGCACCCGGTCACGGAGATGACCACGGGCGTCGACCTCGTCCAGGCACAGATCCACGTCGCCCAGGGAGCGTCGCTCGACGAGCTCGGCCTCAAGTACGACCCTATAGCTTTCACCTGGTGGGCACATTGCATGATACGACACACAACGCCATGCACATTCCTCGCATTCTTAGCTTCCCCCCCTCCTACGCCCGGTGAGCAGACAGGAAGCGTTGCTCGTGAAGGGACACGCGATTGAGTGCCGCCTCTATGCGGAGGACCCGGACAACAACTTCTTCCCCTGCACCGGGCGCGTGCTCACATGGCAGCCGGCCGCAATCGCCGGCGTGCGCTACGACGGCGGGATCCGCAGTGGTACGACGGTGGTCCAACGCGCGCGCACACGAGCTCTGTCGCGGCGTTGACCGTGGCTGACTGACCACTCCACTTACCACACAGGCTCGGAGATATCGGTCTACTACGACCCGCTCATCTGCAAGATCATCGCCCACGCCCCCACCCGCGAGGAGGTACTGCTTTGCTACTCGCAACGTCCACTTCATATGTGCGCGTGTCGTGTCGTGCGTGTCGTTCATTGACCTCTCTTTTCGCTTGCTCTATTCCGCGGCAGGCGCTCAACAAGATGGTCAAGGCTCTGCGGGAGACGGTGATTCTGGGTCTCACCACGAACAAGGTATTCCTACAGCAGGTGCTCCTGCACCCCGATTTCCGATCTGGCCATTTCAACACCCACTTCATCGACCACCACCTCCCCGCCGACGTTCGGTACCATCACCGCGCGACGCGACGCGACGCGACACGACACACGATTTTCTCTAATGTCTGCGCACAGGAGGCAGTCAGTGGAGGGAGACAGGGACGAAATGGTAATCGCCGCGCTCTTGTGGGACTGGCGAAGGCGGGAAAGAGCGCGGAGCCTCCTTCGCCGCCTGCCCTCCGGCTGGCGTAACAGCCCCTACGCCAACTCGGTACAGCACTGTGCATGTGTGTCGTGCGCCGTTTAACTCATAAACTGAGTACTGAGTAACATGATGGTACAGCGGCAAGAGTTCGTCGTTGCCGGCGGTGACAAGGCGCGCAACGTCGCGGTAGAGTATCGATACGAAGCCAAGCGCGGCACGGGGACGCAGCGAGATCCCAATGCCCACTTCTACGTCAAGGTCAACTCGGCCCGTGAGTACTCGCGGGTGGTGCTCCATCAGCACCACATGCCGGTGGGTCCGCAGGGCGAAGGAGAAGATGACGCCACGCTCGACGTATCGCTGGACGGTCTCAGGCGGCGATACATCGTCAACGCCGCGGAGGACCGCATCTTCGTCCACTCTGCCACATTTGGCGAGTCTGTGCTCACCCTCAAGTCGCGCTACGCTCAAGCGTTTGTGGGAGACGCTGCCGGCGAAGGCGAGTACATCGCCCAGATGCCCGGTATGTTGGCCACGCAACACACACAACGCACACACACACACATACGTGGCTCATCATCAGCGAATCGGTGGTGCTGGGGTGCGCGCCAACTTGGCAGGCAAGATACTGCAGCTGCTCGTGGCCGACGGGAAGGAAGTGGCGGCGGGCGAGGCGCTGCTGGTCATGGAGTCAATGAAGATGGAGAGCAAGATCTCCGCGCACAAGGTAACCCGCTCTGCCAACGTGTGGCCGATAACCCGCCGCCTCACGTTTTTCCCCCTGCAGGCGGGCAAGGTGAAGCTGCACGTGCGAGAGGAGCAGATCATCCAAGAGGGCACCCGAATGCTCACCATCGAATAACACGCACGCCCACCTTCACCTCACCGGCGCCATGCAGGGGAAGCTCGATAGGGAGCGCAGACAAGGAGGATGCTCAGATGGGTGCGACCATCATCAGGCTCGACGTCGGAGGCCACTTCAGGACCACCTGTAGGACCCTGCGCAGGGAAAACTCCTTGGGCTTGTTGTTAAGGAAGGGCGCCCCTTGTTTCAAGTTGTGGAAAGGTATGATGGTGTGAACAGAGGCACAGCTCGCCGCCTGGTCGCCGTGGCGCAAGAGGAGAACCCCACATTCTTTAGATGTTCGCTAAAGCTTCCATTTTGGTGTTATGTCGACAATAATCAACACAGAATTGGCGCACTCCTTCTCGCAGTGTCACCTGACGTGCCCGAAAGCGAAGAAGAAGGCGAAGAGGATTGAGAAGGATCTGTGGTTCTCTCCTCTGCCGCGTTCACTACTCGAGAAGCGCCATCAATTCTTTGGCGCACGCGCATCTTTGCATCATCGCCATTTTGGCCTCTTCGGTCATCTAGATCCTACTATTGGCGCAGAACGCATCATCCTAATCTGTGTGACGCGGAGCCATGGCTGGGTACCTCCACCGCTACAACAAAGTGTTATGGTTATGATTGCCTTAAATTTGCTCATCTTACTCAGG